TCCGTAACTCTGTTCATAGACAATATACAGTAATCCAAATAATACCGTTTTGTAGTACTCGTGGAGCTCTATCATACCTGGTTGAGTTGGTTCGAAAACATTGATTTTGAAAGAAATTATGGCAGGGCCCGCGAAGACCCGGATTACAAGTAGGGAAAAATGCTTTTTCGAAGCTTACACTAGCATACTCTGAAAATTCTCGAAAAATCGATATTTCGGCTTGAAAGGGTCACGAAATGATTCTGAAAATGCTTGAAATTCAATGGAGCTTTCACTGTGGTAGCTGAGCCCTAGAAATCATCGGAAATGAGCTCCCGGAGGACATTTCGCATGCCTCTGATAACGTCAGAAAACACATTTTTCGACATGTTATCGGTCCGGAATCTGGCTCGATTGAAATAGTCCTGACGGGGCCTGTCGAGATCTATCCATTGGTACCAAAAACGTCTGAATATCTCGTTCTAGGGAGTAAATTTGACTCGATTGTTTTCAAAATTAACAAAAAAATAGATCGTTTTTAGCCAAGTTTCAGCCTAAATTTCAGGCAAAATTCTGAGAGTTTCCAGGCGGAAATTCTCGGTTTTAGAGAATTTTTGGGCAGTTTTTAGCTTGTTTTAGGTGATTTTCAGCAAATTTTCAGCCAAAAAACTCACTTTAAGCTCATCCCGATTGCCAGAATGCCTCAATTGTCCCTCATACATCAAACTCTGACACATTGCAATCATTCGTTTCTGTTGTGATTGATCGATTATCGATCGCTTATCAGTGCACAGGAAGTCGTAGGTAGATGGACTCCAAGGCATATCTTTCCTCAAATTGAACTCTTTCCTCTCGGATTTTTTCGATTTTTCCTCATTTTCCGCAGATTGCTCATCCTTAATTTCCTCGTCGAGGTTTTCTTCTAGAAGCTTTTCGTCCTCTTTCATTTTTTCCAAATATTCCAATTTCTCGTCGTCTTTCAGCTGTTTTTCCTCGAGATTTTTCCTCTTTTCATCCTGTTTTTTCAACTTTTCCGCCTCTTTTTTCGCCTCTAAATTCAGTTTTTTCGCTTCTTTTTCCTTCTTTTCTTGTTCTAAACGCTTTTCTTTTTGTTTTCTGCGAATGTCACGAACATGGGTCCATGAGGCCACTTTTTCGATTCTCTGGAAGTACAAAATTTGATTTTTCGCAATTTTTCAACTTATAAACCCGAAATTTCGCAATTTCCATGGCTAATTGCGCATCTGAAAGGTCGGAATCCACTAGAAACTGCTCAAACTCCTCTAGTGTCATCTCGGAACGCATTTTCTTCTTATGGAATCGTTTCCACGCTTCTGGGTTGGATTTTTCGGATTCAGGGACTTCTGAAACCATTTTTTAGGTGAAAAAAACAACTTCTTCGAGCTTTTGAACCCTTAAAACGTTTTACAAAACATAACTTTTGGCTCATTTTCCAAAAAAATTTTTTTTTTCGATTTTTTTTTCTGAAAAATTCAAAAAACCCACTGATCCATGGCGGTGGCTCGTTTGGAAACAACATTTCCCTTCCGCCAAACCGCTTTTTCGGATTTGTAACACAACTTAAACATCCGGTGAGCACATGAGCGACGACTTCTGGAAAAATTGAGATTTTTAGGCTGAAAATCGGATTTTTTTTCGAAAAATACCATCATATTTTTTATTCTGATCGAGTTGCCAAGCGATTTGACATCGAATATCCGCTTCTTCTAGACTCATTTTGGCCTGAAATCAATCTGAAAAATTCGAAAATTCGTTGAAAAAATTTATGTCGTCAGTTGGAGTGCATGCACACTGCACAACTTTTCAAGTACTGTAATCTGGCAAAAAATGGTTTGGAAGCAAAAAATACCAAAAAAAATAGTTGTTAAAATATTATTATCTTACTGAAATTTGGGCTAGAAAATTGCAAAATTGAATGAAGAATTATTTTAACATCGAAAATAATCTAAATGTCATTTTTGAAGGAATAAAAACTATGTTTTTCGAAAAACAAAAAGCAAAAGTGGTATGCGAACGCGCTCTATTTGCACGCATGAGAGAGGGAGACCCAGAGAAAATTGGTTATTTTCTGGCGATTTTTTACAATTTCCAACAGTTTTCACCCCGAAAAAAGCCGATTTTTCGCCCAAAAATCATGACAACAAATGTGCAAGAAGTGTATCATGTCGTTTCGCACCGCCCGATTTATTTCTGGTCGGCGAACGATGTCGATATTTGGCTTAGAAGGAAGCGACCCCGTTTTGCACTGAAATATGCGCATTTCTTCCTTCGACATATTGTTTCAGGTGGGATTTTTGGAGTTTTTTGGGCCGAAAAATCAAGTTTTTTGCAGGTAGAGTGCTCGTAGACCTCTCCGACGACGATTTACGGGAGATTGGAGTGGAAAATGCGGATGAGCGGCAGGATTTGCTGCTGGAAATTAAGAAAGAGAAGCTTTACAGTGATTTGGACGAATTCTCAAAGCTACGGACACAATCTACGGGCAATTAGACACTCTTGTTAAATGAATTTTTTGTACATAATAAATTATTTTTTTTTCGAATTTTTCATAGTTTTTAAACCGGTTTTTGACCGAAAAATATGCTTTTTAAATTGAAATTTTCAGCTTTTTTCAGTAAAAATTCGATTTTAGAGGTTCCTAGGTTGAATGGAGCGTCGAAATGGACCAAGGTGTAGAGAAGTGGCGGATTTCGTTGGGAGAAACGGGTATTTTGGGTATCCTGGACGTCCTGGAGACGTTTTGGGAAGATTTCAGAGAAGACCGAGACATGATGTGAGGGTTTTCGAGAAAAAAAGTGGAAAAAGTTCGAAATTTCTCGCAAAAGAACTAAAATTTTTGAGCTATTTTTACACCTAAAATCATATTTTTACTCAACTGCGAAAATTTTAAAAATCGACTGCGAAAATTTTTAAAAAATCCATAAAATCTGGATAAATGGACACACAGATAGACATTCTTTAGACTGAAATGCTGAAAATTGTTTGAAAAATATGGCTTAAAAGCTGAGAATTGAGAATTTCGCCTAGCTATTTCCACAAATTTTTGTGTCAAAAATGGCCTAAATTTGATTTGAATTATCTCAAGAATGATAAGAAATGGCTCACCAAATTGAAAAATACTACCATATCTTGATAGGTACTGTACCAAATTAATTGAAAATCACTTTTTTGAACTTGGCGTAAGAAGAGCTTCAAAATGAGTATAATTATGACTAGGTTTTGAAAATTTTTCAATTTTTGGGTCCCGCCACGAAAATTGGAAATTTTCAAAATCGAGCAAATTTAGTCGTGTTTAGGCTCATTTTGAAGCTGAAAACATGAGAAAATCGAATAACTAGGTTTTATGGTGATGGAACAAGTATGAACTGAGATACGGTAGTTTCGAATTTTCAAAAAAAAATACCGTATCTCGGTTTATATCTGTTTAATCTTCATGGAAACTAGAATTTTGATTTTCTCATGTTTTCAGCTTCAAAATGAGCCTAAACACGACTAAATTTGCTCGATTTCGAACATTTCCAATTTTCGTGGCGGGACCCAAATTTTGAAAAATTTTCAAAACCTAGTCATGATTATCCTCATTTTGAAGCTTTTCTCACGACAAGTTCAAAGCTAGTGATTTCATAGATTTTGGTACGGTACCCATCGAGATACGGTAGATTCAAATTTTCAAAATCTTGAAAATTATTGATTTTAACAACCCCGAAACAGGCTGAAAATGATCGGATGATTCTTTACAAATGTTTTCTTTCGACAAAATTTTGCTGAATTTAGGAAAAAACCTGTAATAGAAGGCCTCCTCCCCCCTAATTTTAAACTTCAAGCCAGTTTTTCTCGGTTCCTTATAAAGTTATCAAAAAGTGGTCCACTGATAAACTGTTTATCATGATATCAGCAACATTTTATCAGTTGACCAGATTTTGATATCTCCTATAGGAGCTGAGATATATCGGTTCAATGTTCAGAGTTCGTCAGCCGACAGTGTAGCTCAGGCGGTGAGCAAGTTTGATTCAATTTAACTCGGTTTCTGTAAAATATATCAAAAAGTTGTCAACTGATAAATTGTTTATCATCTTATCAGTAATATTTTATTAGTTTACAACTTTTTGATATGTCTCACTGTAACCGAGATAAATTGGGTCAAAATTGCTCGCCGCCTAAGCGATCTCTGATCTTTGAACCGATATATCTCGGCTCCCATAAGAGATATCAAAAATGTGTCAACTGATAAAACGCTGCTGATATCATGGGAAGCAATTTATCAGTTGACACATTTTTGTTATCTTTCACAGGAGCCGAGATAATTGAGCTCAAACTTGACACTGTGTGACGGGGGGGGGAGGGCCATTCTAATACAGGTTTTGTGGTCAGCTATTCTCAAATCGATAGTTTTCCAGGATCCTCGAATGCCATTCGAACTGATTCACAGCATTCTAATCACAAGTAGATTGCGAAGTTCTGATTCATCCGCTGAATGTTTGGATTTCTTAAAATCAAGAGACGAATTCTGGTTCAAAGAGAGATGGGATTCGATTTGTCAATGGGATCGATTTGCAAATGAATTGAAACAAGAGAAATTGAAAAAACGGAGAGATGAGTATGGATTCCGGCAATTGAAGAGTCTCTCGGTGGTCTCTAGAGAGTTCTACGAGTTCATTGAGAATCGAATGCGGCCGGGTGTTGATTTCAAGCCAATTGAAGTGGATTTTAAGTTTAAGGTAATAGTAATTTCTGAAAAATAAGGGAAAAAAGGCTGAAAAATGGTGAAAATCACAGTGGAAAATCATAAAAAATGACCGAAAAAAATAGCTTAAAATGCTTCAGAAAAGTCTGAAAAAAAACTGAAAATTCAAAAAATTTTCGAAGTGATTTTTCGAATTTTTGGCCCAATTTTTTTTTCATATTTTTTTTAGCTGAAAATCTGGATTTTTCAGTCAAAAAAAAGCAAAAAAACCAGCTGAAAAAGTCTGAAAATCGGCTGAAAATTTTTGAAAATTCAAAATTTTGGATTTTTTTTGCAATTTTCAGCTGTAAAAAAATGCAAAAATCTGGATTTTTGAAATTCAAAATTAGTCAGAAAACAAGAGCCGGGCGTTGATTTTGAGCCAATTAGAAGCTGAAATTTGCTTAAAATCGTCTGAAAATTGTCATTTTTTCTGAAAAAAAAAACCAATTTTTATCATCAAATGGTCCAAAATTGATCTAAAATGACTGATTTTTTTTAATAAGAAGAAATCACAAAAAAAAATACCCGGAATTTGTCTGAAAATTGGCTTAAAATGACCTGAATTTCCGCTAAAAATGCGATTTTTAAGCTATTCTCTAGGTTTTTTTCCTGAAAATTGATCCTGAAAAAGTCTGAAAATCGGCTGAAAATTGTAAAATTTTTGTAAAATTTAATGTAAAATTTAAGCTCATTTTCATCTAAAAATTCGGCATTTTCGCTTTTTTTTTCTTCAAACAATGGGTCAAAAATGGCATTTTTTTAGCCAAAAAAAGCCTGAAAATGACAACTTTTACAGCTAAAAATTCTAGAAAATGCGAATTTTTAGATAAAAATGAGCTTAAAACACACAAATTTTTCAAAAAATTTTACAATTTTCAGCCGATTTTCAGACTTTTTCAGGGTCAATTTTCAGGAAAAAAAACCTAGAAAATAGTTTAAAAATCGCATTTTCAGCGGAAATTCAGGTCATTTTAAGCCAATTTTCAGACAAATTCCGGGTATTTTTTTTTGTGATTTCTTCTTATTAAAAAAAATCAGTCATTTTAGATCAATTTTGGACCATTTGACGAAGAAAATTAGTTTTTTTTTTCAGAAAAAATGACAATTTTCAGACGGTTTCAAAATTTTTCAGACGTTTTTTTGAAGGATTCAGATGCCAATTCCAGACGATTTTAAGCAAATTTTAGCTTCTAATTGCCCGGCATCTAAATCCTTCAAAAAAAAAACTAATTTTCTTCATCAAATGGTCCAAAATTGGCCTAAAATGGCTGATTTAATAAGAAAAAATCACAAGAAAATACCCGGAATTTGCTAGAAAATTGGCTTAAAATAACCTGAATTTCCGCTAAAAATGCGATTTTTAAGCTATTTTCTAGGTTTTTTTTCCTGAAAATTGACCCTGAAAAAGTCTGAAAATCGGCTGAAAATTTGTGTGTTTTAAGCTTATTTTCATCTAAAAATTCGGCATTTTCAGGTTTTTTTTTGGCTAAAAAATGCCATTTTTGACCCATTGTTTAAAGAGAAAAAAAATGCGAAAATTTTTGTGCTATTTCTAACCACAAAAATTTGGGGAATTTTGGCTCTCAAAATGCTGGAAAACGCGCGAAATTCGAATTTTCCAGGGATTCAAATTCGACGATTGGGACTCGTTCACTCGTCGTGTGACACTGTACAAATACGGTGGGACTGGTGATAAGCATCCATGTACGAAACTGACAAGAATCAGTAGATTCAATCGATTGGATTTTGAGCATGTTAGGCGAGTTTTTCTGCTGAAAATTGGTCCAAAATGAAGAAAGTTATGGAGATTTCACAAAATTTCAAAAATCAAAACTACCGTATCTCGTCGGGTACTGTACCAAATCAATTGAAATTTATGTTTTTGAACTTGTCGTGAAAAGAGCTTCAAAGTGAGTATAATCATGACTGGGTTTTAAAAAATTTCAAGGTTTGGGTCCCGCCACGAAAATTGGAAAATTTCGAAATCGAGCAAATTTAGTCGTGTTTAAACTCATTTTGAAGCTGAAAATATGAGGAAATCTGAAATCTAGTTTTCAAAAAGTTTGATCTTGAATCAGCTGAGTTACGGTAGTTTCGGTTTCTCCAAGAAATTCTAGCACCAAATTGAAAACTACCGTATCTCGATGAGTACTGGACCAAAATAACTGAAATTGTTGAACTTGTCATGAAAAAAGCTTCAAAATGAGTATAATCATGACTAGATTTTGAAAAAATTGTTCTTTCAAAATTTGGGTCCCGCCACGAAAAAATTCATGAAAATTAGATTTCAGACCTTTCATTGAATTTGGTACGGTACCCATCGAGATACGGTATTTTCAAATTTTAAAAATTTCGGAAATTCTCAAAATTTCCCATGACTTTCTTTATGTTTAGTCGATTTCCCAGCAATTTCCAGCTTATTTTATCACACTTTTGATACTGAAGACCCGATTTTCTACAATTTCAGCCCATTGTTCGCTTTTTCCAGACCCTTCGAAACGATCCGGCACGTCTACATCGACAGTATCCCCCTATCCGAGGAGCTCTTCGAAACCCTCCATCGAATGGACTTAACAAGGGCTCAAACCATAAAATTCCAGCGGATTCCCTATATCCATCTGTTCCCGGAGACCATAAATGTGCCAGAATACGTCCAGAGATTTTGTCGAGAAGTCAACACGAAGGCATTGATTTGGTTCGAATCGAGAGAATGTGATCCGTGGATTGCGCTGTTTGGTTATCCAGTAGCTTTGAATCAAGGAGCAGGAGCTGGAGCCGGAGCCGGAGGTGCAAGAGGAGTAGCTGGACATCAGCAGTTGAATGGATTCAGAGGGTTTGGAGCCCGAAATAATCGGCAAGGGAGACACCGGAGAGCTAATTTACCAGCTAACGGATTCGGAGGACATTTTGGAGGTAATATACGGGCTCAAGGGTTCGGAGTACGAGAAAATCAGCAAGAACAGGAGCGGCAGCTGCTTCAGCGTCTCGCAGCGATCATACCAGTGATACCAGTAGCCAATGAGGACGTGGACGATGATTGGGATGACAATGATCCTGAAAATGAGGATCCAGAGGCTCCAGAAGCCCTCCAGGACCTTCAGATTGTTCCGGAAGCTCTAGAAAGGGCTGAAAATGCTCCAGAAGACCGTTCAGATGCTCCAGATGCTTCAATCCAGGTGGAACATGCTCCAGAAGGTCCTCCAGCAGCTGCATATGCTAGAGTAGAAGCTCCAGAAGGAGCTGAAAGTGATCCAGAAGACTCGGAAAGGGACCAAAATCAACTATCAGATGCTCCGGAATCGTTCCGAAATCAAGATCTCCAAGACGTCCCAGAAGAAGCTTTGGAAATCTCTTCGGATGATTTAGATGCTCCAGAAGAAGACACCCCATACGATGCCTCAGCAGTCCCAATCGCTCTTCTGCAGCTTCTGAACATTGATTTCCAGGATCATCCAGTTGCTGAGCCATTTAACCAGCTGCTTCAACTACCTCAGCTTAGATTTGACCCTCCAGAAGACGTCCAGAACCTTCTAGAAGCTCCAGAAGCTCCACAAAGACCTCGAAATGCTCCAGGTGCTCCGATCTCTCTTCTACAGCTTCGACTCCTTCAGCGGTATATTCAGGATCATCCAGTTGCTGAACCATGGAATAATCTACTTCAGTTAGCTGTGCCTAGAGCTCCAGAAGGCGTTGGAAATGCTCTTGAGCATCCTCAAAATGTTCTAGACGGTCCAGACGACATTCTAGCACCTCCAAATCAAGATGAAGCTGCAGACGACGTTGGAAATGCTCCAGAACGTCCCCGGATGGTTCGAGACGACGATCCAAAAGACGTTATAGAACCTCCAAATCGAGATGAAGCTGCAGAAGACGTTCTAGAAGAAGGAGATGTGAGACATGAGAATGTTCTTGATCGAGAAGAGGCTCCAGAAGACGTGGATCCTGAAGAACAAGACAATGGAGAAAATCCAGAAGACGAGGATCCTGAAGACGAAGAAATTCCAGATGAGGAGGATTTTGAAGGAGACGACGAGAATTTAGAAGACGTGAATCCAGATGAAGAAGCTATCGACGAATGGGCAGAAGACGGCAGAAGACGAGGCAAGGCAGAAGACGACGAAGACGAGGATGAGGTTTTCCAAGAACCTGAAGACGTGGATGCTGAAGATGAGGCTCTCGAAGAATATGCGGATCCAGAAAGGCCAGAATATATTGCAAATCGTCTAGATCTACAAGAAAATGACCAGGATCCCCGACTGTTTGCTCCGCTAGCCTCTCCAAACGATCTAGGCGATCCTGAAGACGTTGGAGGTGCTCCAGAGGCTCCAGAAGCTCCTCAGAACGTCCTAGATGTCCCTCATCCTGGCGCCCTCCTTCATAGAATTCCAGCTCATCAGGCAGCGGCGAATGATCATCGAGTCGCAGTAGCTAGATATCCATTGGAAGTGTTTGGATTAAGGGGCGGAGTCAACAGAAGGGGCGGAGCCAGAGACATCAGAGAAGGAATTGAGCTCATAAATGCCGACGCTATCAATTTGGCACAGAGATTGGTTGCTATGGGAGAAGAAGAAGAGCTCATCCGCCAGCTGGAGGTTCCTGTGGCGGCAAACGGAGCTCTACATCATGCTCCAGAGGCTCCAGATGATCTAAATGACGACTTTGAAGCTCTAGAACGTCAGGAGGAGCTTCCTAACCTTCCGTTTGATATCAACCTGGTTGGAAACGCTCCAGAAGCGTTTCTGGAACCTCAAGAAGACCTTCCTAGACTTCCATGTGATATTGACCTAGCTCCAGAAGATGCTCCAGAAGGTGTCCCTATCGCTCTCTTCGAAAATGAGGATCCAGAGGCTCCAGAAGCCCTCCAGGACCTTCAGATTGTTCCGGAAGCTCTAGAAAGGGCTGAAAATGCTCTAGAAGACGGCCTAGGACAGCAGTTGAATGGATTCGGAGATGTAAATGAGCCTGAAAATGAAGATTTCGAAGCTCCAGAAGACCGTTCAGATGCTCCAGATGCTTCAATCCAGGTGGAACTACCTCAGCTTAGATTTGACCCTCCAGAAGCTCCAGAAGCCCCAGAAACCCCTGGCAACGTTCCAGGCGACGTCGTTGAATTCCTTATTCAACATCTAGAAGCTCACCAACAACATCCGCTATGGGGTCTTCTGAATCTGCCAACGAATCTTCCGGAACTTTTGGCACTGGAGAATTTTCTAGAATCGCCACCGCTTCGTCTGAATCCTCCGATGGCGCCGATCCCTTTAAATGTGAGTCAGACAAGTAGACAAAATTAGGTTCAGGGGACTAGGATTTCCCTCGGCCGCGGCCACGGTTTGTTCAAATATCAGTGTTGTGCATTTTTTGAAAGCCTACAGTAATCCAAAGTTCTAGATTAAAGAGTTAGAGGCGCACTAAAGATGGATTTTACCCCAAAAATTGATGTAAGAATGTTCGAAAATGGACCAAAATTGGCTTAAAATCTGCTGAAAATGGCAAATATTTATGCTTTTGGGGCGTTCTAATCCCATTTTTAACTTTAAAAAGTCGGTTTTAGGGTCATTTTAAGCTTATTTTCAACCCATATACTATTCTAGAATCAGAGCTACAGTAACCCGAAATCCCATAATATGGAGTGGTTTTCGATGAGGAATTCAAATTTCATGTTGATTTTGACGTAGGAAATAGATTTTCTAGTGGAATAGAAGGGCCCCCCCCCCACATTGTCAATTTTAAGCTCAATTATCTCTCAATTAGCAATTATCAATTAGGGGGGAGGGGCCTTCTATTACAGGTTTCACGGTAATCCAATTTTCGAAAAATCGATTTTTAGAGCGACATTTTTGTGCCTAACCTCCATATGCCGTAAAACCTGTATTAGAAGGGCCCCTCTAATTGAAGTGCCCCCCCCCCCCCCTAGGGAACCCACGAAAAATGGAAGGGCCGGCCCTTCTAATACAGGTTTTACGGTATATGATTCCAGGAGGATGTGGATGTAAATGCTCCCGAACAACCAGATGAACGGGATAATCAATTGGATCCAGTGTTGCATCGAGAAGAATCAGAAGCACGTCTAGACTATCGCATCGCACGGAATCATTCTCTACAAGTCCACCATCGGAGAGATCGCGCTCTTTATCAAGCCGATGAGACTCTATCTGGCTATGTGCATGCAACACGGAATGCTGTGTTGGCTGGAATTCATTTAGAAGACAATCCAGACGACTGGCGAGCAGAAGCACAGGTTGAACGCGTACAGAAAGTGGTTCTGCACAGAAGACAGGATGTTGTGAATCGATGGATGACGTGGAGACGGGACTGTGAACACTTCAGAATAGCAGATCAGGTGGCGAATCGAATGGAAAAGGCGTTGAGGACTTTAGAGAATGAAAACGAGCGAAGGAGGCATCTGTTTAGGAGAGATCGGATGTAAAGGGGGGGGGGGGTTACGGTATTTCGGCGGGTACTGTACCAAATCAATTGAAATTGATATTTTTGAACTTGTCGTGAAAAGAGCCTCAAAATGAGTATAATCATGACTAGGTTTGGGAATTTTTTTGAAAACTTTGGGTCCCGCCACGAAAATTCGAAATTTTCAAAGTGGGCGGCGCCTAGTCGTGTCTAGGCTCATTTTGAAGCTGAAAATATGAGAAAATCGAAAATCCAGATTTCAAAAAATTTGATCGGAAACCAGCAGAGTTACGGTAGTTTCAATTTCTCCAAAAAATTTGAGCACCAAATTGAAAACTACCGTATCTCGGCGGGTACTGGACCAAATCAATTGAAATTGATATTTTTGAACTTGGCGTGAGAAGGGCTTCAAAATGAGTATAATCATGACTAGGTTTGGGAATTTTTTTGAAAACTTTGGGTCCCGCCACGAAAATTCGAAAATTTTCGTTTGAGCAAAGTGGGTCGTGTTTAGGCTCATTTTGAAGCTGAAAACATGAGAAAATCGAAAATCTGGTTTTCAAAAAGTTTGATCAGCAGAGTTACGGTAGTTTCGAAATTTCAAAAAAAAATTTGTTGAAAATTCAAAACTACCGTATCTCAGTTCATATTTGTTTCTTCTCATGTTTTAATGAAAATCGAGCTGGCTCTTAAAAATGAAATTAGGAACATTTCAATTTTTTCAGAAAATTCAAAAAATGGGACTCTTAAAGCTGAAATTCTCTTCAAAACCCCCATTAAATTTCCCAAAGAAAAGCAAGCACTTTAAGCGAAAAATGCGAAATTTCGACTGAAAATAGCTGAAAATCGTCACAAAAAATCTGAAATTTCCACCAAAAATCCAATTTTTCAAAATTGAAGAAAGTCTTCAAAAAGGAATTTTGAGCTGAAATTTCCTGAAAATCGACCCAAAAAATCCCCGAAAAATCGCTGAAAATGGGACTTTTTGAGCTGGAAGATTAAGAAAAAAATCAAAAAAAATTGATCTGAAATTTATGCTGAAACTGGAGACTTTGAGTTGAAAAATTCGATATTTTGGCTCAATTTTAGAGCTGGAACAATCTGAAAATCTGAAATTTTCAGCAATTTCTACCGTGAAAAGTTCCATCGATACATGAGAAGCAGACCGCGTGAGCACCGTCCAAATGCTCAAGAAGTTAACCAGCAAGTTCAACGATATCGTGCATACCGTACTATCAATATGTGGGTTTCATTTTGGCTGAAAATTGGCTAGAAATAGTCTCTGAAATTAGATTTTTTTGGCGCGAAAATTGACTTGGAATGAGCAATTTTTGAAGAGCTACAGTAATCCCACATCACTCCTGAGCAATGAAGCCGTGCTACAGTAGTCTAGAATGGCCGGAATTGGCTTAAAACATGCCCGAAAATAGGCTAAAACGATTGGAAATGGCTTGAAATCTGCTGAAAATATTTTCAAAAACAGCTGAAATTCGCAAAGATTACCATTGTTGCACGATTCTAGTTCATTTTTCGTGTTAAAAAAAAAAGATTTTAGGACAATTTAAGCCCATTTTAGGCCTATTTTAAGCCTAACTGAAGCCTATTTGAATCTTGTTTGAAGCTCATTTCAAGCCGATTTCAAACCTATTTCATGTTCATTTCAGCCCTATTTTAAGCCCATTTAAGCTAATTTTGTGGGTTTCATTTTGGCTGAAAATTGGCTGGAAATAGTCTCTAAAATTAGATTTTTTGGCGCGAAAATTGACTTGGAATGAGCAATTTTTGAAGAGCAATGCTACAGTAGTCTAGAAATTCTAGACTTCTGTGTATTCTAGACTAGAATGACCGAAACTGATAGAAATTGGCTGAAAAATGGGGGTTTAGAATGTGCTGAAAACGGCTCAAAATGACAGAAAATAGAAGCTAGTTTTGGGACAATGTTGAGCCTACGTTTGGCCTATGTTAGCCTTTTTAAAGCCTATTTTTAGCCCTATTTTAGGCCTTGCTTTGACCATTTGTATAGCAAATTGTCAAAATTTTCTCGGGCCATTTTAGTTACTTTTATAAGATTTCAAGCCTATTTTGAGCCTATTTCAGTCATATTGTAGCCCTTTTCAAAGACTATTTTAACTCTTTTTTAGGTGCATTTTAAGACTATTTTAAGTCTAATTTAGGCCTATGTTAGCCTATTTTGAGCTTACTTTAGCTTATTTCAGCATATTTCAAGTTACCATTAAGCCTTACTATTGCCCCATTTATAGCCTTTTTTGGCCCTATTCACAGCCTATTTTAAGCCTTTTTTAATGCCATTCTATTTAAAGGCCATTCTAGCCCTATTTTAGGCCATTCTAGCCCTTTATTGGGCCCTTCTAGCCTCATTTTAAGCCCTTCTCGCACTATTTTAGGCCCTTCTTTGACTATTTGCAGCTAATTTTCGGACCATTTTAAGTCTTTTTTGAGACTATTTCAGCCTGTTTTTTCAGCCTCCATCGGATAATGACGAGTCGAGGTTTCAATAGACGTCGAGCCAATTTGAATTATATCGAACCGGGAGATGTTATCCGAATGAAGGGACACTTGAAAATGTTGTTGAATATATTCACACGAAACAAAACGGATCGAATCAGAAGCGCTGGACGATGGCACTTGAAGCAACTATTCAGAATTTTCCGAAAACAACCGATCAATGCCAAACAGTTGATGTGGCACTTGAGAATGTTGAAATCGGTGGGTTTTTGAACGGAAAATGGACTTGAAACAGCCAAAAATCGTTGAAAAACTCCCAAAAATCATGAGAAAAAATGGTCCAACATTATTGCGAAATTTTTCAAAATAAGATTTTTTTTTCCGAAAAAATTGCATTTTTTTTCACATTTTTTTGTATCTTCTCCTTACTAATTTGAAGCGCGAATTACCTCTAAATTAACTGCAATTTTTGACTAATTACCCTCCTAATTAAGATCACTCTTCACGGACCACTGGATGTACGAATCGCCAGAAATATCGGGGAACTAACGGAGGCTCAACAAGCCAGAACTACAGTATTCCAGTCATTTCAATGGATTTTCGAGCGGAAGTTTCATTTAAACGATGAAACTTATTATGTCGAACGGAGAGAGCCAACGAGAGATTTGATTGATCGACGGACGATGATTTTGGAGTTTTTGTGGACTTTCAGACAGTATTTTGATGCTGAAAACGGGATTTGAGGAGCTTTTTGATTCCAAAAAGTCGAATTTTCGCCATTTTTTTCACTATTTTTAACCTAAAAAATTCGTTGTTCTCTGATGATTTTATCCATTTTCTAGTCATTTTTCACCTATTTTTGACCACACCAAATCATAATTTTAAGCCGTGTTCTCTCTAACTTTCAGCACTTTTTGCCTCCCAATTTTATCTCTATTTTTCAATTTTCTAGGCATTTTTTAAATCGAAAAATTGACGACTTTTTGGACCCAAAAAGTCGGGTTTTCTTGAAATTTATAGCTATTTTTTAGTCTGAAAATTTGAATTTTTGGCTATTTTTCGTTATTTTTGCATGCATGATTTATTCATTTTTTTTTCTAATTTTTTTCTCTCAAAAATCTTGATTTTCAGATTTTAGAGTCTGAAAAATCTTTTTTTTTTTTTAATTTTAGTCTGAAAATGTTGATTTTTAGCAATTTTTCACTATTGAAATCTTCATTTTCAGCATTTTTTGATCCCATTTTCTCTACGAAAATTCATGTAAATTTTGTATCTAAATGCCCTATAATTGACTCCAATTTTTTCTAGAACTTTCCAGAATTTCTTATTTTCCAGTTCTATTTTCCTATAATTTGCCCTTTAGTCAATCTCGTATTTTCTATTATTTTCATATATTTTGTATCATTTCCTGTACAAAATTCCCCGTTTTTCAGTCATTTTTCGACCTTGAAATTCTTGAAAAAACTCTGAAAATTTTCAGTCAAATTTTGCCCTTTTTCAGCAAATTTTGAGCTAAAAATCGGATTTTTGTCAGTTTTCCAGGTCAAAAATGTATATTTTATTTCTTAAATTGCCCATATCCCCCATATTTTCAGTCTAATTTTGGCTGAAATTCTCTCTGAAAATTCTCAATTTTCACTGTTTTTGACCTCAAAATACTGGAAAATTTTGTCAATTTTCGAGATTTATTGATTTTTCAAAAATGTGTATAAATATTATTTTGGTTCACATTGCCTATTTTTTTCCCATCATTTGCCCATTTTCCCCTATTTTTCCCACCGGTTTTTCCCCAATTTCCAGCCATTTTTTTGGCCAAAAATCTCCGTTTTTCTAGAATTCTCCCCCCTCAAATGAAGCTTGTTTTATCGGATTTTCTCTCAATTTTTTTCGTTCTTTTTTTTGTGAATTTTTTCGTCAATTTTCGTATACTTTTTCTCGAATTTTTTCAATGATTTTCAGCCTAATTTTCAGGTAAAAACTAGCTGAAAAAGAAGGGAAAAAAGATGAAGAATCGCTTCACTTTGGTGGATGTGATTGCGGCGACGACCGAGTTGAAGAAGCTTCAAGGTTAGAGAGAAAAATCTAGAAATCAGCCATTTCCAGGATTACTGTAGGATAGAAAAATTCAATTTTTGTCAGCTCAGGGGTACTGTAGGTGAAAAATCGGGAATTTCAAAACGTTTTGGATTTTTGAAAATATGAATTTTGGCCCGAAAATGCGGTCTGTCTGGAAATTCAAATTTTAGACTGAGCAATTCGATGGGGATTACTGTAGCTCATCGGATTACGGTATTAGGGTTACTGTAGGATACGGTTTGATATGTGTAATGACCCTCGGTTACTGTAGTTTTGCTAGTTAAGGCTTTCTGGATTACTGTAACATTACTGTAGCGATTATGGATGGGTTACGGTAGTCTGTGTACTGCAAGATTACTGTACTATTTACTCCACACAGTATCATTCACGATACTCTCTGGATTACTGTAGAATAATAGAACAATCGAAAAATCGAAAAATTCTGAAATTTCAGAGGATTGCAACTGGCTTTTAATGAGAAAATCGATATTTTTAAACCATTGCTCATCTGAAACACTACTGTACTTTTTGCAGGAATGCGTGTCAACAATGTGTACGATATTGATAACAAAACGTACCTTATCAAACTGACCCGTCCCGATGAGAAGGCTGTGATTCTGTTCGAATCGGGTGTTCGACTACATCAGACATTCCATGATTGGCCCAAATCACAGACACCCTCTTCGTTTTCAATGAAACTGAGGAAGCATATCAATCAGAAAAGGTACAAAGATAGCCTGGAAATTATCAAAAAAATCAATAAATATGGTCCAAAACCCCATCAAGATGGTCTAAAAATCATGAAAAACGCTCGAAAATGACCTGAAATAGCCGAAAAATGGCAATTTTTTGAGTGAGCTACAGTAATCCTTTAGAATTTTTGAATTTTTCGATTTTCAGAATTTTATAATTTTAGTATTTTTTTTATTATTTTTTGGAATTTTTCGATTTTAAAAAATTTGATTTCAAGATTTCTCGAAGTTTCGGATCTACAGTAATCCTAGAGGACACAGTATCAAATCTACAGTAATCCCCAGGAGTTTCTGGAATTTTGGATTTTTTTTCGAAATTTTCGATTTGCCGAATTTTCGACTTTCACGATTTTACAGTAATCCTACAGTAATCCAAACATTACTGTCAAAACGTTATGGCTACAGTAATCCTTTGAACCGTTGACCACGGCAGTAATCGTTGACAATTTTGATACTGTAGGATTACTGTAGCAAGGTAGTCTGCGTATCATTTTACTATACGACTACAGTATCATAATACAATTATCTCTGAATTACTGTAGGATTACTGTAGGACTACTGCAGTTAGCGAAATTCCGAAAAATTCTGAAAATCAAAAATACAAAAATTTATAAAATTAAATTGGATTACTGTAGAAAAAGTCGAAAATTCAGAAAATCGAAATATTCGAAAAACCCCCAGAAACTCCTGAGGATTACTGTAGACTTGATACTGTGTCCTCTAGGATTACTGTAGATCCCAAATTTCGAGAAATCTTGAAATCGCAAATTTTGGGTTACTGTAGGGATTACTGTAGAAAAATGAGCATTTTTAAAATGACGTATTTTAGCCGATTTTGAGCTACTGAGTTGTTTTTTTTTGTAATTCTCTGGAGTTTATAGAATTTTCAGAAAAATTCGAATTTCAGATTTTAAAAAAATTTTTAGATTTTCTAAAATTTTTTGAATTTCAGAAATTCTGGAAATTTTGGATTTTTCAATTTTTTTAATTTTATAAAAATTTTTCTGAAAATTCTATAAACTCCAGAGAATTACAAAAAAAAACAACTCAGTAGCTCAAAATCGGCTAAAATACGTCATTTTAAAAATGCTCATTTTTCTACAGTAATCCCTACAGTAACCCAAAACTTGCGATTTCAAGATTTCTCGAAATTTGGAATCTACAGTAATCCTAGAGGACACAGTATCAAGTCTACAGTAATCCTCAGGAGTTTCTGGGATTTTTCGAAATTTTCGACTTTTTCTACAGTAATCCAAACATTACTGTCAAAACGTTATGGCTACTGTAATCCTCTGAATCATTGACTACGGTCACAACTACAGTAATCATGAAAAACAACTCAAAATGCATGAGAAATGGCCGAAAATCATTAAAAATGAACCGAATTTTATGAAAATTTTGAGTGATTTTTCATCAATTTTTTCTACCGTATCCTACAGTAACCCTTACAGTAACCCCCAAAAATCCCCCTACTTTTTCACAGATTGACATCAATTCGAGTCGTCGGATTCGATCGAATCGTCGAGTTGATCTTCGGAACCGAGGATCGTGAGAATCGTCTCTACGTGGAACTGTATGATAGGGGAAATGTGATTCTGACGGATCACGAAATGACAATTTTGAATATTCTTCGAGTGAGAACTGATAAGGACACCTCAGTGAGATGGGCGGTACGAGAGAAGTACACATGCTCAGGAGACGCAGAACAACAAGATCCACGTGGATTCAAGTCTGACGACGTCATCCGAAGAATTCAATCGATTCCCGACGGGAAGGATGAGCAATTGGGACGAATTCTGTCGGGATTCACGAAATGTGGAAATCCGATCACCAAGGAGATTCTGTCGAAAATCGGACTGAAATGGGAACAAAAATTGAACGCCAAATCGGATGTGGCTGAAATTTCAGCCAAATTTGAAGAGATAAAAAAAGCGACTGAGGAGATTTGGGACACTGTTGAGCATGATCCCAAAGGATTCATTAGTTATTTGGAGATTCCTTGTGAGTCATTTTCTTTGCTAAAAATGACTGAAAATGGTCCTAAAATTGGGGTTTTTGTAGTGAAAATTGGTTGTTAATCTAACTGGAAGACCCCCCTAAAAACCGACTTAGAATGAGCAATTTTAGAGAGCTACAGTAATCCTTGAAGATCTAGTAGACTACAGTGGTTCTACAGTACTCTTAAGCCATCATAAATGTGTCTACAGTAATCCAATGAGCTACAGTACCTATCTGCGATTTTCTTCGATGTTTGGCTGAAAGTGACTGAAAATGAATGGCCTCAAAGAATGGGATTTTCCACGAAAATTGACTTTTGGAGAGCGCTACAGTAATCCTGCAGGGTACAGTAAGAACTACAGTAATCCTCCGGAAGTTCTGGAATTTCCAGAATTTTTTGATTTTCGGAAATATTGAAATTTCTGAATTTTCAAATTTCTAGAATTTCAGAATTTTGCATTTTTGGATTTTCAGAATTTTTGACGTTTCGCTAACTACAGTAATCCTATAGTAATCCTACAGTACACAGACTACCGTAATCCATCCCTAGTCGCGCTACAGTAATTCACAAAAGCTACAATAGCAAAACTACAGTAACCCAGTGTAATTACACCTATTCTACCGTATTCTACAGTAATCCTGATACCGTGGGATTCATAAGCTACACTAATTCTACAGTAATCTATATCTACCGTATCCTACAGTAACCCTAATCCTGTTATCATGACGTACAGTACCTGCTACATGTTGGATTTTCGTGTCCTATAGTAATCCAAAGAAAAGACAGAGGTACAGTAACCATAAGTCAGGTCACACCACATCTACCGTATCCTACCGTAATCCAACAAAGTGTCAAAAAAATCTACCGTATCCTCTATCTACAGTATATTTAATACCGTTTTCATAAACTACAAAATTTCTACAGTACTCCAGAGCTCTAAAAAATCGAAATTCTGTATCCTACAATAATCCCAAGACTGCCTAGAATAAGCTACAATAATCCTCTACAGTACTCCTAATCTTAAGCTAGTCTACCATAGCCTACAGTAATCCTATCATCTTGTTCATCTTGTTTCTACAGTAATCCTCCATTGAATTGCTCATTTTTAAGCCTGAAATAGGAATTTTAAGACTGATTTGAAATTTTTGAGTAAAATTTGAAATTTTTTCAAAAATCCAAAATTTTGCAGCGGCCACCTCCAAAGACCTAGAAAGCCTTTATTGAATTACAGTAATCCTCTACAGTAGTCCTGAGCTTTGAAAAGGCTACCGTAACGTACAGCAATCCAATAAGCTACAACAGTAAAACCACAGTTATTCAAATTCATATAACATACAGACATAGTACAGTACTCCCGATCTACCGTATACCCTACAGTAATCCAACGAGCTACAGTTATCTCTACTGACTTATTGCTCAGCTTAAAATTTGAAATTTTTTTTCAAAAATCCAAAATTTTGCAGCGGCCACCTCGTCGACGCCGATTGAGATCTATTCGGAATTCAATCCGATTTCAATGCCTCTGACATTGAAACTACAGAAAGAGCTACGGTCGTTTTGTGAATCAGTTGACGAGTTCTATTCTCGAATTGAGACCCAGAAACAAGAACAAAAGGCAGTGAATATGGAGAAACAGGCGCTCAAAAAGTTGGAAAATGTCGAAAAAGATCAAAAGGAGCGGATTGAGGCGTTGCAGGTGGGTTGGGCTTGGAATTCGGATGAAAATGGGCGAATTTTGACTGAAAATAGCTTAAGATTGACTGAAAATGGTTCAATTTTGACTGAAAATAGCTGGAAACTGACTGAAATTAGCCTAAAATTTGGCTGAAAATGGTCGAATTTTGGCTGAAAATGGTTGAAAACTGACTGAAAAAAAAAACTGAAATTTGAGCTGAAAATAGCCGAAAATCGACTGGAAGAGGTCAAAATTGATCTGAAGTCGGCAATTTTGGTACTGTGGGATTAGTGTAGCGCGACTAGCGAGGCTACAGTAATCATACAGTCTAGTTACAGAGTTACTGTCAGCACAGGCTACCGTAAACCATGCTACATTAATCTTACAGCACCGAAATTGCCATTTTTGAAAAATGATTTTTCATAGTTGTCAAGGATTACTGTAGGAATACTGTAGAATTATAATATTGACCTTTTTCAGTCAGTTTCAGAAATTACAGAAATTCCAAAATACTGAAATTCTGAAATTCTTTGGTTTTTTAAGCTTGTGAGTGCTGTAGGATTACTGTACTTTATGAGAACAGGATTAGGGTTACTGTAGGATACGGTAGGATACGGTAGATAGAGATTACGGTAGAATTAGTGTATCATATGAATCCCACGGTATTAGTATTACTGTATGCTATGGTAGGACAGGTGTAACGACTTTGTGTTACTGTAATTTTGCTATTGTAGCCTTTGTGGATTACTGTAGCTCGACTATGGATGGAATACGGTAGTTTTCTAGAAGACTACAGTAATCCTACAGTCTAGTTACACAGCCACAGGCTACCGTAAACCATGCTACAGTTGTCAAGGATTACTGTAGGAATACTGTAGGATTTTAATTTTGACCTTTTTCAGCCAGTTTCAAATACTTCAAAATTCCAACATCTCCAAATTCTCAAAACTCATCTGAAATTCAGATTTTCAGCCTAAAATTTGCCATCCATAATCGCTACAGTAATTTTACAGTAATCCAGAAAGGCTACAGTACCAAAATCTACAGTAACCCGAAACCTGGAAATCGAAACATTTCTGAAATTCGAAAATTTCAAAAAATTAAAAGTACCACACCTGTATCCTACAGTATACCCCATTTCTGTAATCCTACAGTACTCCTGAGCTGCTCTGGAAATAGGATTTCTGTATTGTTGAATACAGTACTCCAATGAGCTACAGTACCAAAATCTACAGTAACCCAATGAGCTAGATTTGTCATTTTTAAGCCATTTTCAGCCCCCCCCCCCTCCTGACTTCTAGAATACTGTAATTGTTTGCAGCTAACCCAAGAACAACGCGAACACATGGCCAACCGAATCATCCTGAATCAAGAGCTCGTCGAGAAGGCTCTATTGCTCATCCGCAGTGCTCTAGCCAATCAATTCTCATGGCAAACGATCGAGGAAATGCGGAAATCAGCCGCAGCGAACGGAGATCCAGTTGCCAAATCGATTGATTCATTCAAATTTGAAAACAACGAGTTTTTCATGAAACTCGGCGACCCTTATGATGAGGAGGCGGAGCTTCTGAAAGTGCCAATCGATATTTCGATGAACGCGTCGAAAAACGCTCAGAGACACTTTGTGGATAAGAAATCGGCAGCCGAAAAGGTCAAGAAAACGGTGGCATCGTCGGAAAAGGCGATCAAAAATGCGCAGGAGAAGGCGAAATGCACTCTGGAACAAGTGAAAATCGTAACGGAAGTCAAGAAATCAAGGAAGACGATGTGGTTCGAGAAGTTTCGATGGTTCATCTCATCGGAGGGATATATTGTGGTCGCTGGTAGAGATGCACAGCAGAATGAGCTGTTGGTTAAGAAGTTAGTGACACTTTGGGGGGGGGGGGGGGCAGGGTGGCGGGAAACTGACAAGGGAAGCGTTTTCAGAGGGGCGTTGAGAATTAGATCAAAATTTGTACAAAAGTACTTTCGAACATGCTGAATACGATTTCAGCAATATCTCGGTCATAACTCTAATAGGAACAAAAATATGTGCTCTCAAAGTGTTTTCAGTACTAAATTTTGACCCAAAACGTGCATTTTTCGAGCTTTAAAACTCTTTTTCCAGGATTTTTTCAAGCGGGAAACTCTTTTTTGATCATTTCTCTATCATCTGAAACACTTTCTGTACAATTTCAAAAAAAAATTTTTTTCGATTTTTTTTGAAAAAAATCATCATGAAAAAAATCACCCACACTTTAAAAGTGATTTTTTGAGAAATTTTTTTGCAAGTGCAAAAAAGTCTTTCAAACATTCAGAAATGATAGAAACATCATTTTCATAGAATTTGGCAGCTCGATTTCGTCTGTGAGCCCTGAATAATTCCCAAAATCTGATAATTGCAAGAAATTTGAAAAACTGTAACTTCTCAAATATTGCTCAAAATCGCACGGAATACATAGAAATATGTAAAGATCATTTGGGTGATAGATTTGGTGGTGTTCCACTCAAAAAAGAGCAAGACGGAGCAATTCCGAGAGTCGAAAGTTTTGCTTTTGGGCGATAGGACAAGTCGAAAAACACAATATTTCAAAATTTCTTCAAAATTTCAAACGCCTTCTTTTTCCCTTTGAAAACGTTGGTAATTCATGAAATAAGTATAATTTGTTATTCAGGGGACCAAAATGGATATCGAAAATTAATCTCGAAAAAAACAAAAAAAAGAATTACCACAGTGGGGTTCGAACCATCATTGTCACTCCTAATGAGTCTCCCTCTTGCCACAACACCACACAACCGATATTTTCCTCTGGCGCGGAGTGCGTATAGGAGAGAGGGGCGTAGTGGAGTGAGGGAGGGGGCGAAATCGGTATAAAAATTTTCAGACGAAGATTTTCAGCTTGTTGATGATACTATGACCTAGATTTTTTCGTCATCGTGTTACGGATATCTCAAACTATCAGTACTGAAATTTTTAGAAAATTCTCAACGCCCCTCTGAAAACACTTCCCTTATGAGCAAAGAGAAACAGAAGAGCAGCTCGTGATTTATATGGTTCTAAAGAGCTCGACTTGACAGCTCCAAATCGATTTTCAGATTTCGAAAATATTGATTTTGAAGCGAGTTATGAGCAATTGAAATTCTTTTGGAAAAATATGGTCTAGTTTTGGATTTCTAGGCCACCCACAGTAAAATGTGTATAACTTGTCTTAAACTGCATATTTATGAAATCTGAAAACGGTTTTGGTCTCGCAACGATCTGTGCTTTCCAACCCTGATTTTCAGAATATTCGAATTTCATTGAATTCTGTAATTTTTTGAATTTCAGAAGTTTTGAATCTTAACTTTTTTAATTTTTAGGATTTCAGAATTTCTAGAAATTCAGAATTCTCTGAATTTCAGAATTTTCTAATTTTCGGAATTTGTGAATTTTAAAATTTTCGAAATTTTCAGAATTTATGGATTTCTGGATTTTTTTGAATTTCAGAAATTTCTGATTTTCAGAATTTTGGTATTTTTGAAAATTTCTGGAAACTCAAAATTTTTGAATCTTAACTTTTTTAATTTTTAGAATTTTAGAATTTCTACAAATTCGGAATTCTTTGAATTTCAGAAATTTCTGATCAGAAACTTTTGAAAAAATTTCTGGAAATTCAGAATTTTTTTGAAAATTCGGAATTTCGAAATTCAGAATTTTTTTCCATTTTTGAATTTTAGAATTTCCAGATTTTTTGAAAATTGCTGAAAAAGTTCATAATTACGATGTAATACTACAGTAATCTTACAGTAACCCAAAAAAACTACTATCAGGAAAATGGCAACAACATAGATTGGCAATTTCGGTACTTTAGGATGGGTTACGGTAGTCTATGAAGTAGTTAACCTACTCCTACAGTAATGAAAAATCCCGAAAATTCAATTTCGTCAAAAATTGCAAATTTTGGAATTTTCGGGATTTTAAACTAGAGAAATAGGCAAATTTTCAGCTTTACTGAAATCCCAGTACTTAAACGCTACAGTATCCGAATTGAGGATTACTGTCCTCAAACAACTGCAGTAGTCCGACATTTTTAAATTACAGTATCCCTGTCCTACAGTAATCCGATATTTTTTGTTTCGAAATTGCAGTATCTCTACAGCAGTGTGCCTTATCGACAAAGATTTACCCGATTTTGTCGACAAATTTACTTGACAAATTATCGATAAATTTGTCGATAAAAAACGATAAAATTTTGTCGATAAATTGTCGACAAATTATCGGTAAATTTATCGAAAGTATTGTCGGAATAAAAAAAGTGAGACTCGGTGTTTGCGTACTTTGATTCCCGCCTCCCCCCACCGACGCTCCGCCCATCGCTTTGCAAGTGCGGCGTGGTGTTTTAGCGCCACTTGGGAGATCATATTTTCTATGAAAATCTGCAACAGAGCGCGCATTAAAGCACACACACACGAAACATCGTTCCAATTTGGGACAGTTCGACCCCTTACAAGTTCGCACTTGTATAATAACAGTTCGATTCTGCCCGCGTTCTGTTCTGGTAAGTGTGCGAAAAAGGACTGTTCTGAATTGAATCAGTTCGATTTTAGGTCTGTTCGAATTCGTCGTACCCCCATCTCATTAAATCCGATGATCTCCCAAGTGGCGCCAAAACACCACGCCGCACTTGCAAAGCGATGGACGGAGCGTCGGTG